AGCAATTAAATCTTTGACCTGATGCCAAAAAAATTTATTTATTGAATAAAAAAGTCAACAAATTAAAAAGGTGAATAGTTTGGCCTGCCATTTTAGAAAATGATTAACAAAAGAAATTGAAATGGTTGTCCATATTATTTACAAAGGAAAGTGTCAACTTTGTCATATTATTATTATATATATATTGTATCCTCAATTATTATCAATTTTCTTCAAATAACAATTAATATTAATTGTTTACTATATTTAACAAAAGTCTACTGCACCAAAATTAAAATATTTGACTTTTGAGAGATGATAATACATGATTTTACTATAAATATTTAATTATGTATCTTTGTAATATATAATAAACTATTGTCAAAATAACTTATTGGTAATTTTAATTGCTATTAGTATATATATATATATATATATTAAAATGAATGTTAATTAATCTCTTAACGGGTACTATATTACTAAATTATTGCTAAGAATAAAATTGGTGTGCCTAACTAAGAAGCGTCAAAATTTTATTCAAAAAACAGTTTCCACTAGGAAAAATTAAATCAAGAATCCATTCCTTTTACCCAATGCCAAGAATACAGGAATTTGGAGACACAAAAAGCGTATCTCCTCAAAGGAATCAATAATATTTTAATGTATAAATCTTGATCATATTAAAATTTCTCTTCATCAATCAAATGCAATATTAAAAAAAAAAAAAAGTATATTTGATAATTCACCGATAGAAAAGTTTATTCTTTTTTTTTAATTAAAATATTTTATATTTATAATGATAGAATGCATTTAAATTTTAGAATATTGCATATATGATTCGTGTTGGAATTAAATTCCATTGCAAAATAATAGAATAGAATTCAATATCTCTACCAAATAATTTAAAATATAATTGTTTACATTATTAATTCTACTATAAAAACAAGTGATAAGTGATATTGATATTGTCTAATAAATTAATTTGAATAATTATATTATTTGTAAAGAAATATATGGGGACGGTCCTTTCCCTTTTAACTATCTACGTTCATTTTCTTTAACTAATTATTTTTCAAAAATTTTAATATAAATATGAAAATAGCTTATAAAAATTCTTCATTTTCCTCGTATTATTTACCAAAAGTAAAATAAAATTGAAAAAATCTGGTCAATTTTGCATATCTTACCTACTTCATTATTATATATTATTTGATTAAAATAACAATTAATGTGTAATTTTAATTACTCTACTATTTAAATTTGGTCTCTTTCCATTCATCACGTTTGCAATAATATAGGTGGATGAAAGAGACTTTTTTTTTTTTTTTTTTTGAATAAAAACAAATTATTATTTGTATATGGTTGACTATATTATAATACATATTTTTTTCTAGAAAAAAAATGGTGATATGAACTTTCAATTATTTAATTTTGTATTATTATATATAGAAACATACCAAAATTACAAACTTTTGAAAATGGATATATACTAAATTTATATTATTAATTTTATTATTTTATAATTGATGTGGTACATTGTTTATATCATTTAAGAATTATCTAATAAATTGATTTTGAATAAATGTAATAGAGATAAAATGAAACGTTCATAAATTTAAATATTAAAATCTTGGTACAAAATATCAATAAATACAAGCGTAAAAGATTGAAAAAATTATAAATGGTAAAATTAATTTATTTCAAGATACCTCAAAATTATCAGCATGAAAAATTTTTATATTTTTTTTTTTTTACTCATTATATATATTATCTTTTTTATTTTTTAAATATAATTAATGTGAGACTTAAAGTAAATAAAAAAAAAGTGATTTTAAGATAAGATGGTATTATTTATACCAACAAGCCACACCTTCTTTTTCAACGACTCAATTATATAAATTCAAACAATTTTATTAAAGGAGAATATAATACTTTTAATCTTCCCCTAAATCCTATAATATAAAAATAAGAAATATATGCAAATAAAGAAAGTGGAGAAAAATTATCGTAATCTAGCGGATTGTATTCTCCGAATTTACACTTTTTTTTTTTCTTCCTTTTTATCTCAGTAAATTTTTGGAGAATATTAATAATAACAATAAATTAAAGTGTATAGTACGAGAATATTTAGAAGGATTTACAAAACTAATAAACGGAGTAATTGGACGTGGAATAAAGGATGTCATTGGAAATTTTTTATCTACTTAAATTTGAATATGCTATAGTCATTGCCACGTAGATTTCAACATATTTAAACGTTGTGTGGGGTCCACACACCTTTCCCATTTCTATCCAATTATAACATCATCATTTCATTTTACTAAAACATGTTTAATTATTAATTTAATTTGTTACTTACCCAATATTCTACCCCGACACAATATTTAAATCTCAAATTAGAAACATATCATTTCAAATTACAAAACTTGTCGCCATACGCCATGGTCAATGGGTCATAAAATAAATACGTGGGCTCTCCATAAATTTAATTTTTATTTATTAATAAATATAAGTGCCCTCGAAGATAAGATGAAACCGGTTAACTTTTATTTTTCAAGAATAAAAATGATAAGGTAGGTCAACAAAACTATTCTTGAGGTATTTTTTTGTTTGTGAGTAAGAGGTGTTCCTCCTCCTTTCTATCTCGTAGCCACAAAGTAGTCTTTTGTTACAAGTTTTGACAATTAGGTACCTTCTCAGCCGTTATGTTCTTAAGGTCACTGGACTAGCCAATTTGCATAAATCTCGAGGGGATGGCTTGAAGGAACTTCTTGATGATGAAAATCTCATTCACCTTAGTACCTAACTGATGAATGTCGACCACGGTCATAGGTTTAACTTGGTTGGCAAATTAAATCTCTTAAACTTAGGGTACAAATAAAAAAAAAAAATAGGTTTAAAAGGGTAATTTAGGCAAATAAATTTTCACAGAGATCAATAGGTTTAAAAAAGATTAATGTGAAAAAGAAATAAGAGTAATTTAATACCTTGACTTCGCATTAAAAAGTGAAGTGATTGATGAAGATGAGGGAGTATCAAGTGGACGGTGCCTATAAAGAAGAGGGGACCGTGCGAAGCTTGAGGCCAACTTCGATGGCGGAGATAAATTCAAGCTTTAGTATTTGTGCCATGAGGAGCTCCTTTGGTTATGTTTGACTTTTGAGTGTTTAGGACTACGCTTCTATTTTCTATTTTAGATCTAGAGTACCAAAAGCATCATTCCTTGCATAATGAACATGTTCCATCTCTATTAAATTGGAGGAGTTTGCTTCACCCCAAGGCTAGCTCCAGTCCTCCTTCAGGGTCCTCAAGGACTTACTTTCAGGTTCATAAACATTTATACATTCAAATTGTGTTCTATTTGAAGGTAGATAGATAGTGCATTACGACAATTCTGCCAGCAAGCTTACTACCTCAGTTTAAACATCTCACATTTCAACTTGAATCTGAGTGTCTCATAATGTCAAACACATTTCTAAGGCTCGCCGAAAGCTACAAGTTTGCTTCCTTAGATTGCCATTGCCAGCACAGTATACTTTATAAAGTATGAAGGGCATTATTAATTTTTTGCGTATTTTGGATGCAGTTACAGTGAGCGAGGTAGAGGCATTATACGAGCTTTTTAAGAAACTGAGCAGTTCAATTATTAACGATGGACTGATCCATAGGGTATGTTGTATGAGTTAATTGATTGCAAGTTAATTCTGTTGCTTGCCTTTCCAAAAGATATATGATTGGAGTTCTCTCTCTATAGCATTTAAGTGGTTGTATCAGTGACATTCTATACTAATATTCATATCTAATCCGCAGGAAGAATTTCAGCTCGCGTTGTTCAGAAATAGAAATATGAAAAATCTTTTTGCAGACAGAGTATGTAGCTGGCTTCTTTACACTCTCTATGCTGCAAATCTCCATATACCTCTGCCTTCGATTCCTCACTGCTAAAGAAACTGTGAATCTTTTATTTATGTAGATTTTCGATTTATTTGACCTGAAGCGAAATGGGGTTATTGAATTTGGGGAGTTTGTCAGATCCTTGGGCATCTTTCATCCTAATGCATCTATTAAAGATAAAATTACATGTGAGAACTTATTCCAGATATTTTTATTTTCAGGTTGTACTGTAGATTACCTATTTTCATTAATGAAAGACGAGAAAATTTAGGTACCTTGCTGATAATAATGTTTTACTTTGCAGTTGCTTTTAGGCTATACGATTTGAGGCAGACAGGGTTTATAGAGCAAGAAGAGGTGATCTTTTTATTTCTTTTGCAGAATCCTTCTATTGAAGGCAATAGTATTTATTAACCATTTTCTGGGCAACATTTTGTGTTCAATTTGGAGTGGAATTTCAACTTCATCCAAACTTATGGTCTCATTTTTGTTCTCACAGTTGAAGGAAATGGTTTTGGCTCTTCTACATGAATCAGAGTTGATTCTTTCGGATGATGTGATTGAAACAATTGTGGAAAAGGTGTTTGATTGCCCAATGCTGTACACCTCGTATTTTTATTGTTTTAGTTTTTTTGGTGTAAAAAATAATCATCTGGTTCTGGTGTTTTAGTACAGACATTTAATGAAGCCGACATGAAGGGCGATGGAAAGATTGATGAAGAAGAGTGGAGGGAGTTTGTGATGAAGTATCCATCATTGATCAAGAACATGACATTACCATACCTAAAGTAGGTAACCACGAGAATGTTGCAATGTTCTCTATTGGAATGTATGTAAATCATTTGTTGAGTTTTGGTTCCATGGATTCAGGGATATCACCATGGCATTCCCAAGTTTTGTTGCAACTACAGAAGTCGAAGATTCAGATATGTAGACGAATTTTTGGTGGTTTTTAGAGTATATCAACAAGAACGCCTGGGTGGATAGCTTAAAGATACAAAAAAGTGTGCAGTGATTTGGGAAGAACAGAAATAGGTATTCTCTAAATTAGGCATATTATAGAGTTGCATTATTATTATGTGCATAAAAATGAAGAAACTTTGATGTTGATTATAATTGAAGTGTGAAGTGTATATGCATATTCATAGTGTGATGTACAATAACTTAATAGCAGTGTTAACCAGAGGAGTTAGTTCGAGGAAGAAAGAGGGTAAAGGTGTAATTGAAACAAAGATATGTATAAGAGGAAGAAATTTCATTGCATTTTAGCTTAGTGAGAAAGGAAGAAAAAGAGAGAAAGAGAGGAGACAGGATTTTGCAAACATCCCTTTTTAGCTTTTGAAACTAATCCCTTTTACTTCCTTTTTTGTCCTTGGAAAAGGAAGGTAGGAAAAGAGAGTAAACAAATTTCATTGCCACTTTTTTGTATTCAGCATTACAGCTGAACTCTACGAGATATTGTTGAACTCTACGAGATGTTGTTGAACTCTGTGTCCTTTTTACATGTGTTCTTATGGGTTGGGATTGAAAACAAAATGAAATTTATTATATATATATATATATATAAATCCGTGGCAGCGGAAGATAGCTTAGCTTAGGGTTCCTGTGTGTTTCTTCCAAGGCACATTTAATCTAGGGATTGCCCACCGACACCCTTTCTATTTTGTCTTTCTTTTTTTCGTTTTCATAATTATTCCCACCGCCCCCTCTTCACTCTCTCTTCAATTTTCCATTTATTATTATTTATTATCATTACTATTTTGCTATTTCTACTATTATTTTGCTCCCTCATTTTCTTTTCTTTATTCTTTCCTCTCTTTTATTACCCTACCGCCTCTTTAACTAAATTACATGCAAAGAAACAAGCTTTGGATATTAACATTTAACTTTTCAAATTAATTAACTAAACCTCACAAAACTGACACTTTTAATAAATTAAAAGAAACAAGATTTTATTATCTATTTTCTAATTATATATAAAAATAGAAAGATTGCAAAATATTAATGCCTTATTAATATCATAAAAAATCAGATAATATTCAGTTACAATACAATTTCAGAGGAAAAAAGAATGAAACATATATTATTAATTATATATGGAAAAAAGAAAACTCCACTATTAATTATACGTATTTTATGCCCACACTTTTTTTTTTCTTCTTTCTTTATTACCACCTTATATAATACAATTACCCAAATTACACATTTAACCCTCCCAGGAATGCAACTCCCGTGGACGGCAACCACGACGAGCCGTAAATGAACTGCGCCACCGTGAACTTACTCGCCTCCACCGTGGAAGTTATGACCCGATACCCAGGCCATGTCACCCTTTGACCCACCGCCCCACCCGGTCCGTAATTCATATACTCCCCATAATACAGCGTGTCCAGCGCAAACGTGGCATTCCACTCCAGCCAACCGCGTGGGTGCACGTGGCTCCCTATGTACGATAGCATGAACACGACTCTGGAGTATAATTTCCAGGGACGCCCCAAATAGGTCGGGTTGCTGCTATTGGACGACGCCAGATCGGAGGCGGCCAAAATCCGACACGCATGGATGGAGATTCCAGTGTTCTGATTGGGATCCTTCCGGTTTTGGGCGGTGAGTGTGTTCTTTTGAAGGTCCATTGCCTTTCGGGCGTAGATGCTGCAGTTCTGAAACACCACCGCCGCATTGCCGAAGATGAAATCCACCGTCCCATAAATGTCACACTCCCGGTAGAACTGGCGGTTGGAATGGACGTAGAGAGTGTCTTGATAGCCAATTATGTTGCAGCGGTACACCACGGCGTGGTCGCCGCCAACTCGAAGTGCAACTGCCTGGTGCCGGCCAGGCCCCGCCCAATTCTCAAATGTCATGTCCCTTAAGATTATACCAGCGCCGGTGGCCGCTGTGATCACAAGAATTTGTTTTTAACAAAAAAAAAAAAAAAAAAAAAAAAAAAAAAAAAAAAAAAAAAAAA